GATTCAAAGATATATGAAATACAATCACAATATAGGAGGAAATTAGCAGTCAACTCTAAAAATTTAAGAGTAAAATAATAAAGTAAAGTAAGACAGGTTGAGGAAGGAGGGAAAGGGAAGAAGGGAGAATGAGAGAGGGAGGGAAAGAAAGAAAGAAAAAAAATGTTGCATGAGGAGATAAAGAGAGGCGACATCATTCTACTGGTAATATTAAGAAGTAATAATTACTCTTTTAGATTATATACCATATTTATTATATTATATTATATTTATAAATATGTATTATATTTATTTAAGAAATACAAATATCTTAAAAGTTGAGATGAGTTTTAAGAAAAGAGAAAATCTTACCCTGCCAAGTACACACACTACTGCATTTCCTTCACAACAGATCTGATGCAAATTTTTAATATCGGTGGCCAGCTTGGTAATTTCAGAAAAATTAGCTTTAGGTTGATTTTTAGTCAACAGAACCAATTCCCTGGGGATAGAAAAGTGCATTTTAAGTTTTTGGATTCAATTCTTTCTAAAATTAGTTCTAGTTCAATGGGTAATCAAAAGAATAGAAGTACATTTGCAAATGTAGGATAAAGATAGTTGCATATTACGTTTTCTATTTCTTCAGTGATAGAACCCAGAGCCATCCAAAAATCTAAGTCACAAAATGAAAATTATTCAGTTCATAATCATGTAAGTACGGTCATTGTCATTATTCAGATTATTGCTTAAAGAAGTTGAGTTGCTTGGACAAGTACTTTGGGAATTTATCTGCCCTATTTCCAAATAGAATTCTTTTCCATAAAGACATTAATTATAAAAGGATTGGTTCTCCCTTGCCCCTCTATGTTGACAACTGAACAACATCCCTGAAACTTTTTTTGTTCTGTTGTTCTTTAGTCACTAAGCTATGTCCAATTTTTTTGTGACCCCAGGGACTGTAGCCTGCCAGGCTCCTCTGTCCATGGGATTTCCACGTAAGAATACTGGAGTGGATTGCCATTCCTTCATGACCCAGAGATCGAGCCTCGTCCCCTGCTTGGCGGTAGGATTCTTTACCACTGAACCATGAAAAACAGGCTCGCCTTATAAGAAGAACTAAGCTTCCAGGCAATGCAATATTGTCCTTAAATGGGTAAGAAGGTGATATAAGGAAGATGCATGTATTCAGGGGTTAAACAGAAACAAAATCTGGGCCAAGAAAGAGACACGTTGAGTGACATCAAATTCTCCTCCCACCCCACACTCCTCTATCCCCACCCCAAAAACACCACTCAATTTTTGTTTTTTGTGACATTCTAGCCAAAATCTGTCTTATCTTCCAAGGGAAAAATACCTTTTGTCCTCCAGCCTTAACCATACAGAACAACTAAGGGTATGAATCTGAATATAGAGAATCTTTTGTACACTGGAGAAGAGCCTTAAAAATTTGAGCTGCTGGAAGGTATTAGGACAGGAAACAGTGAGTGGAGACGAAGACTGTGCAATGTGAAGCATAGCCCAGGGTGCCCTGCTGAATAGCCGAGTAGCACACCTGTAGAGATAGGAACCAGGTTCGTACTGAGAGACATTAGTGAACAGAGATAGATGATTTTTCAAAGAGTTCAATCAGAGGGTGATCCAAAGCAGCAAAGTCCACAAATCTAAGTAGGTAACTTACATGGCTGTTGCTACTTTGTGGTTGAATTTAATCCCAATTTCACATAAATGATGATGCCTCAAAGATATTTCTCTAACGTACTTTTTGATGGGCTCCAGCTGTAATTAGAAAAATGACTCATCAAAGAACTATGGTAATAATTGAAAAAGTTCACCTCATGGTTAGTAAAGAAGAGAAAAAAATCATGTATCTTCTCAAAATTAGAAAGTCTTTATTGTCTTACCTCTGAGACCAAACGTAAAAGCATAATGTTGGTGAAGGTTCTGTTTTTTTGTTGTTGTTTTTTGGGTTTGTCTGGTTTTTACAAAATAGCACTCACTTCTCCAGAGAGCGTTTGTCCCTTAACTTAGACATTTGATGTATAAATGAGAACAAGACAGTGAACAAACAAGAAGCCAGAGAGCCAATGGAATAAATTTCAATAATGTCTTACAGTTGTATTTTGATTTTATTCAAGTTACTAGCCCTGTCATCTTGAACATGTCTTTAAATGCTTGTCTATAATATATGCTCTAGCTTTGCAATATAAATTAATGGAGCCCCCCAAAATCTTCATATTCTTTAACTCAGAATTTTGACTTCTGAAACTCTATTCCAAATAAATGTCTCTGAATAAATAAAAATATAATTATTCAAAAAGAAGAATATGTATACCTTGCTATGGTAGCAAAATTTTGGACATAAAATGTCTCAAAAAATAGAGATGCCTAAGTGAATAATGGCACATTGTTTTTGAAAAGATGTACACTTTTAATGTAAAGTACATATGTTTAAGTCTCTGTTCAAAATTGTATATTCAATTTGGTCACAACAATGTACAAAATAAAACCTGTGAATGAAAAAAAATGAATAAAAGTAAATATACCAAAATTAGTATCTCTGTGTGGTGATAATATAACTAACATTTTAAAATTTCAGAATAGCTCTATATATTGACCTAAAACATTATATTGACCATATATTAATTTTACTTTGGGCAACAATATCTTACAATGCTTTTTAAAGAATAAATTTAAAAATATATACAGAGGCAATATTTAAATCATAAATCTGGTCCTATGATAATATTTATATTTATAATTAATTACAAATATAATTATTATTTTGTTCTTATTTTATTGTGTTGCACTTATTTGAAACCAAATACAAATAAGATTATTCTCTTCTTCACAAGAGAGTCTGTGAAGGCTTAACTCATAAAGCACATTCTGTGATCACTGACACCACTTTCACATGATTGACTATGCAGTCTTCTCTGGGTAAGGATTAAGAACTCCTGGGAACAGACATTCTGGAGGCAAGCAAGACTGTAACCATCACAGAGTGAGGGAGATGAGAAAAGAACTTAACTAATTCAAAAGCACCGGCTTATGCTTAACATATAGGGACACATAGCTGGACCTAGAGATTATTGTACAAAGTGAAGTCAGACAGAGAAAGACAAATATATGACATTGCTTATATGTGTAATCTGAATTAGTGGTACAAATGAACTCATTTATAAAACAGAAATAGAGTCACAGGTATAGAAAACAAACTTGTGGCTACCATCAGGGAAAGTAGAAGGGAGGGATATATTTATTGGGAGACTGGGACTGATATATACACACTACTATATATAAACTAGATAACTAGTAAGGACCTAGTGTATAGCACAAGGAACTCTACTCAATACTGTGAAAAGACTTTTATGGGGGTAGAATCTAAAAGAGAGTGGGTCTATGTATATGCATAACTAATTAACTTTGTTATATAGCAGAAAGTAACATAACATTATAAATCAACTATACACCAGTAAAAATTTTTAAAAATTATAAGGGCATATTATACATCAAAGAAAAATTTCCTCTGGAAAGGGTTAAAATCAAGAAAACTATGCAACAAATTAGCTGAAAAAAACTAACAGTCATGAAAAAGTTCATTCTTCCAAATGCCTGGTAATGAAACATAAGTCTACACAATCACTTGTTTTTGCTGTTTTTAACAATATGAAACCAAAAGGAGAAAAAAAAATAACTGTCCTGCTTAGGGATTCAGAATTTGCTTCTGAAGGAACTGGAGCTAACTAGGGGAAGAATGGAAGAGAGGTAAGAAATATACATGTGTGTGTGTATGTGTGTGTGTGTGTGTGTGTGTGTAACTTTAATGATAACTATGATTATTGCATGCTTAGTGTATGCCAGAGACTCTTTAGACACATTATTTAATTTCTTACACAAGGTAGAAGATGAGGAGCTCAATAGGAGAAACATAGTTAAAGGAATAGAGAAATAGGGATTGAGAAGAATATGAGAGAAATTCTCACTGAAGAGATCAAAGAAAACAGCAAGAAAATGGTGGTACTGCATTTAGCCTGGAGGAATTCATCAAAATGATTATCAAACTACTATTCATTTCAGTGTAACCTTCAGAAAATCCATCTGGTGTGCCTTCTAAAGACAGTTATTTTATGTTAGTATCCAGAACCTTTAATGAGCATACATTAAAAAGTACTTTTATCATGGAACTAATCACTGATTTACATCTATTCAGTGAAGGAGAAAAGGCCATATGGTTAAAATTAAATGTGTGGCTAATGGTATTTTCCAGGGTTAGCTACAGTAAAGTCTTCTATCTCATGTTTTCTTACAGTGAGCTTTTGTTACAGTGTATTTACTTTCCCCTTCAAAGGTTTGTGGTATTTCAGCCAACAGAGTATAACAAAGGAAACTTTTGAAGCTTGGTCATAAAAGGCCATAGGACTTCTGCGTTATCCATAAGAATACTCATTCTTGAGACTATGGCCATATGTCAGCAGTCCAGCTGCCCTCGGGCTGCCACGCTGTGAGGAAACCCAAACCAGCCAAGTCAGTGAGACCATATGGAGAGGACCTAAGGTAATATGAGAAGAAAGAGGTGTTGAACCAGCCCCTAGGTGCTTCAGCCCTTCAGAGCCCCAGATCCAACCATTGTCTGACTCCACCACATGAAAAATCAGGATCCAGAACCATCCAGATAAACCCTGCCTGAATTCCTGACCCACTGAAACCATAAGAAATAATAAAATAATTGTTATTGTTTTTCAGTCACTAAATTTTGGGGTGTTTTGCTATGCAGAAATAATAATTGAAGTATTAAATATGTATTATGAAGTGATATTTGTGCTGGATCATGCTTCTCAGATTTTGAGGACTATATGAATGGCCTGAATATCTTGTTAAAATGATGTCTTATTCAGCAGGTCTGGAGAAGAGCTTCATTCTGCATCTCTAACAAGCTACAAGGTAATACATATGCTGCCAGTCCACAGTCCACACTTAGCATAACAAGATCCTAAATAACAACTGACATATAAATAGTTTACCTTTGTCTGGAAGCATTCAGTCTTATTTTCTTCTCGGCAACATGACTGAACAGCTGTTTCATAGCAAACAGACATGGTTAAAATAGTGGGTCCATACAAGAATGGATGCTTCCTAGAAGTTTCATAAATGTACCTATAATTTGACAAATACAAAGTCATAATAATGGAATTATTATGGAATGATATAATTTGGAATTTAAGAACATGTTCTGACACTGTTTCTTAAGAACTTATGATTCATTTAGTTTTATTGACCTGAAACGTCTAGAATTTCATGGTAACAGAAATGGGATACCATTACACTTAAATGTTTCAAAGGTTCACAAGAGACAGGTCATTGTGAGGTTAGACAGTGCCCAAGAAGTAATCCACTGTATCTTCTGGGCCAGTGAGAAAAGGAAATCACTAATTAAAAGTGTTCATTTTTATATAAGTAGTGAAAGTAGAAAGTTGAATAGTCTAAACTGATTGTAAATGGAGGATAGTACAGCTAGTAAAGGTGAACTAAATTTAGAAGTTATTGGTGGATGAAGAGGAATCTTTTTTTTTTCATTTATTTATATTAGTTGGAGGCTAATTACTTTATAATAATGTAGTGATTTTGCCGTACATTTATAATAGCCAGGACATGGAAGCAACCTAGATGCCCATCAGCAGATGAATAGATAAGAATGCTGTGGTACATATACACAATGGAATATTACTCAGCCATTAAAAAGGAATCTTTCAAGATCACCTGTAAGTTCTTTCTAGACTATGAAAGTTTATGCCATTGTCCTCCAAGATGTGTCACTCAATATTTGGGTTTACGACTAAATCTGAGTATTAATTTGCTTCTCAAATTCATTCTTTTCTATTTTTTTACACTTTTTAGGTCACATTTTGTAGAATGTGGGATCTTAGTTCCCCAAAAGGATCGAACCAATGCCCACTGCATTGGGAGTTCAGAGTCTTAATCACCACGTGGTGCTTGTATGCTTGCTAAGCCACTTCAGTCATGTTCGACTCTGCATCCCTATGGACTGTAGCCCGCCAGGCTCCTCTGTCCATGGGATTCTCCAGGCAAGAACACTGGAGTGGGTTGTCATGCCCTTCTCCAGGGAATCTTCCTGACCCAGGAACAGAACTCATGTCTCTTATATCTCCTCCATTGGCAGTCAGGTTCTTTACCTCTAGCACCACCTGGAAACCCCAGACCACCAGGGAAGTCCCTCTCAAATTCATTCTCTACACTCACTATGGAGCCTGGGCACCAGACCTGTCTTCTACTTATCATCATATCTCCTCACACTATTCCACAAAACTTGCTCAAATTACTTACTCCCCATCCCTCCTCCCATACACAAATACCCAATGAAGGTTGACATCGCAGACAAAAACTGGCTTAAGGCTCAAACAAACCCATTTTCTCTTATAATCACAGGAAAGTTTCTTTTCAAGCTTCCCTTGCAGTTAGGTGGGAACATGTAACTGAGTTTTAATCAATGAAATATGAATAAACATGCCATATACCACTTCTAGGCTTGGCTGTTAACTACTTTGCGCAGTTCTCTGTTCTCTTTCTTTTTCGAAGTAACCTTTGAAACGCATGCTCCAGGTGGTATAGCTCCAGTATATAAGCATCTTTCATTTCTGAGTTACTTCTTACAGGAAAGTTGTCAGGAGCTGAGCTGAGCTGAGCTGGAGAAGGCTGAGAGGCCAATGAAGCCAATGAAGACAAAAGCCAAAATGAAAGTGTGGTCAGGCTTCAGTTATCTTCAGGGATAGTATAATCAAAGGGGCTCCCCAGGTGGCTCAGTGATAAAGAGTCTGCCTACACTGTAGGGGAGGTGGGTTTGATCGCTGGGTCAGGAAGATCCCCGAGAGAGGGGAATGGCTACCCACTCCAGTATTCTTGTCTGGGAAATCCCATGGACAGAGGAGCCTGGTGAGGTTCAGCCCATAGAGTCACAAGAGAGTCATTCTCAACTTAGCGACTAAACAACAACTTAAGCGAAAAAAGAGAAAATGAGGCCCTCCCCTCAACTTTCACCCCAGACTCAACCTGCTTACTCTTGAAAGTTTAATCAACAGGCTTGTTTCATTTCAGCGAGGTTTCTTAAGTCTAACTTGTAGGGGAAAAAAAAAAAACCATAATTCATATTATTAAGATATAATTGCCACCCAAGAAAAGGCAAAATTCTTGGCCAATAGGAAATCTCAGTGGAGTCGTTCAGTATCTTTGCTCTCTATTGGGTACTAAGCTAAACTAAGACTTCATTTTTGTGCTGCAGTAGCTTAGTTCCTCTCAAGAATTTTCAGTACAAGCCAATCTAATTTCAAATCTCCAAAGGCAAAGTTGAACTTCATATGAGGAAAAAACTTTCTAATCATCAGAGCCATTTAAAAATATAATAGAAAGTCCTATTGTAAAGTAACACAGAGTCACACTTGGTTGGAAGTTGGGTACTAAAGTAAGATATACAATAAAATTTTACCATGATCAAAACTGTTTTTGAAAACTCCTTAGATAATCCAAATGTACAAGAAAGTATACATGTATGATATACTATCTTTTGATAAGACCAAAATAGCTGACTTTTCCTCCAGCTTTGATATAAGTTACTGTTTCTTTGGTTGAGAATTAAATAAAGTTGTTGGCTTATAGTATGAAGCAAGTAATCAGAAAATTATTTTTCCCTGAATATGTATAGCTGTATGCACTTAAGTTAAATTAGCATATAAAATTACTCCTCAATACTGACTTTGGAGAAGGAAATGGCAACTCACTCCAGTAGTCTTGCCTGGAAAATCCCATGGACAGAGGAACCTAGAGGGCTACAGTCCATGGTGTCTCAAAGAGCCAGACACAGCTTACTGACTAAACAGTAACTGATTTCATTGTAAATGTTCAAGAAGAGATTAGATTCACTATCTGAGTGTTAGTTAGGTTTTATAATCTCTAAATGTTCAACCCAAACCTGATTTTATAACTCTCACCTAGAATGGCTAGTAAATAGGTAGCCAAGCTCATATTTTATTTTCATTTGGTTGCTCCTCATGTCAGACAAGTTAGAACCTGCCCAACCCGCTGTCCCTTAGTCTTTTCACCCTCAGTGACTGGGCCACTTAAGTTCTTCTTGAAGGCTCAGTAACTCCTGGGAGGTTTCTGGATGGTTGAATTAAAGGTGTTTATATTGTTCAGCATCAAGTCACCAGGTCTGTTCATTCATTTCTGGTGTACAGTTTAATGTCTAAAATCTGAAATTATGAATGATAGAGTCAGCACCATGCTTCTTGCACTATATCCAGCACTCAGATCCTTCCCTTATTCCTGGTATCTGTCTGTCTTGACCAAATGACCAGAACTGCATTCCTTGAGCACTGAAGCTTTGTACTTTTGTCGTTTTTGTCTCTCTCGGTATTGGTTTCCTGCCACTGTACCCGAGCTACTTGCTAAAGATAGATGTCTATGCTAACTAAGAAAACAAAATATGAGCACACCTACCCATGGGCTATAATGCTATCCACTGTAGGCAGGAACTATTGAATCAGAGTTCTTGAGTAGAAAAATGATCTCTGTCCAATCTACTGTTATTATTTATTCCTAGGTTCCCAATGACAGATTCTAGGCCTGTCAGATATCCCTCCTGTTATACCTTGGTGAACCTCCCAAGTACTGACCCCTTGCCTAAGCTGTTACCTGCGCTCTATTCCCAATACTCTGCCTATTATGCTTTGCCTACTAGATTGTAGTTTTCAGCATCATTTGCTACTGGTCTGATCAATCTAACCTTTAAGGAGATGGGTCTTTACAGAGCCTAGTCATTTTTAACGTTTCATGACACAGACATTTTCATGTCCTCCAGGGTTTGCTAAGACCATGTTGTCATTCTGAAGGAAAAAAATAAATTGTAGATCAAATTTTTACTTTATTTTTATATAATAAAGCATTGTGTACTTAGAGGCTTTATCTCAAAATCTGTCTTCAAAATTAGAAAATACTTTTTTTCAAAGACCTGGCAAGGAAAAGTGACTTACCTGTCTTTCACTGGCACTTTATTCTCTTTGCCCATCTCACAGATTTGCTCAGGATTTGAAATCTGGAATATTTCAGTGTAACCTGTATCATCCTTTTTGTGTAATAGGAAGCACTTATGTCTTGCTGTCTTATTTATGTTGCAACAGTCAGAAAATACACATTTGCCAGCCATTCCTTGGTTACTCCAAATATGCTCTAGGAAGGTAGCCATCTGTAGAAGGAAATAATAACATGAGGGAAGGCACGATGGTCCACATTCCTAACCATAGAAAAGTTCAAGAATTATAAAGAAAAGGCAACTGAATGTATAATCTTATACTCCATATTCAGTAGTCCTTGGACATAGCTCTTTTGAGCAAAAGTCTTTTAAAAGATTGTTAAGTCTCATGTGCTAGACATTGGCCAAATAGAATATATCATTCTCTCCCTACTTATATAAGTGTTTCATTTTCATACAGCTGAGAGGTATTACAATAAACATAAGTCAAAATGGCCAGGGCCTAAAGAAATCAAGGTATTTTTAATAAGTATTATCCACCAAGAAATATGTGATGGCTTACTTCCCTTGTTTCATGATGGCTTTTAGTTGGTTTCCATGGGGACTTATTTTAAAAATTGAGCTCTGAGGCAATGTGTGTTCAGTGTCAAATATTCTAACATAACTGTAATGATTCAGTTTTCAAATGCCTTTGGATGGCAGTAAATGTGTGGGATGCTGTAAACTTCAAATGACATTACACATTTAGGGGATACAGTCAGAAAAAGGTCATCTCTTGAAGTGGAAATAAGAACTCACTGTACAATAAGTGCAGAAGTATTTCATGTAAAGTGTGTTTCTAATAAAGCTAATGATTTTTCTATGACTGCGTGCATGCCCTGCTAAGTTGCTTCAGTCGTGTCCAACCCTGCCAACCCTTGGACTGTAGCCCTCCAAGCTCCTCTGTCCATGGGATTCTCCAGGCAAGAACACTGGAGTGGGTTGCCATGCCCTCCTCCAGGGGATCTTCCCGACTCGGGGGTCGAACTTGTGACTGGTGCATTGGCAGGCGTTTCTTTCACTATTAGCAATCACTACCTGGGAAGCCCTTTCCTACGACAACTTAGACTCTAATAAAAAATAGATAGGTTTTAGCCCAAGAAGATAGAGTGGGAAAAACCTATAAATAAAGAAGAAAACTATTTGTATTTAAATTGTTGATATGAGAATAATTGATCCCAAAATATGTAGATTATAAGAATAATGTTGATATGCTTATCAATGAACATAAACAACAAAAGCAATATTGCAACAAATTCAATAAAGAGTTTAACAAAAAAGAATTTTTATAATCACAAGATGCACACTTTATAAAAGACAATAGTAATTTTCAAGATTTTCTACTAAGTGGGTAAAAAAACTATAATAATATTCACTTTCTTCTTTTTTATATTCTCTTAGACACTTTTTTAAATCAGTATTTTGATTTCCCAGGAATCTTCATATGAGCTGTCAGACAATAGTAGTCTAGTGACAGAGAAAGAGCAATCAACTTAGATGAACAAGCTGACATTCTAGGGTATAATTCATTCTCTCAAGCCTTTGGTTCTCAGAATGTGATCTCCTAGGCATGAACTTAATAAACTGTAGGTTCATAAACCTGCAAAGATTATATCTTGAGTGTGACTCATATACATATTTTGCATTAAAATTGCTTGCTTGATTATTCAATCAACCCATCCCAGAGCAACATCTTTTGTTTGCAATTTAGTTTGTTTTTTTTTTTAATAGAAAAAGGCAGAACATGATTCACCTACCAACTGGTGACAGGATTCTGAAGGTAATTCATGTGACTTGAGGGTCTTGCACTTTTCTGCAAGATCTAGCAACTCTTGAACTATGATTTGTACTTTTTCATAAGTCAGTTTCTGAAGAAACTGTGCAACCATAATGCTAGTGCTGAAACAAAACACTAGTGTGAATGTTGAAGCCAATCAAACCCCTTTCCTCCATCAGTCTTGTTATATCACTGCCCTACTCCCCTACAAAATAATATGAGTGTAAATTTCAAATAAAATTTCTGATAATAAAACTCACATAGCTCTTAAGTTCTCCTCTAGAAAATTCTGGCCATTTGTTTGTTGCGTGGCTGGGAAAAAAGAAAATGAGATTTTTATTTGCAAAAGAGGAAATTTTCCAAGTTGAAATCCCCTTTTTACAATTCAAATCTACATTTATTCACTCATAAATTTCCAGATCTGTTTTTGTTTACATCATAAATCAGGATACATTTTATAAGAATATATATTTTCTTGTATTTGGGCTTCCCAGGTGTCTCTGGTGGTGAAGAATCTGCCTGCAATTCAGGAGATGTAAGAGACGTGGTTCAATCCCTGGGTTGGGAAGATCCCCTGGAGGAGAGCATGGCAACCCACTCTGGTATTCTTGCCTGGAGAATCCCATGAGCAAAGGATCCTGGCAGACTTCAGTCCATGGGGCCACGAAGAGTTGGACATGACTGACCAACTGAGAACATTTCTTGTATTTAACCTGTATTCTGTGAATGATTTATTTCTAGTCCAAAATATCATGTAGTTGAAATCTGTCAAATATATATTCTTCTCTGTCATTGGCCAACAAATGTTACACATATCTGTGTTGACACTTTTGAGTTAGCTAAACTTGACTTTTTAATTAAATAACTCTTATTAGAAGTTACTAGCACACTCAAAGAATACTAAGAAAATTAAATGCTGGCATTAGGAACAACAACATAAACATTAGTACTTTGCTAGTCTTAATGTGGCAAAGACAGTATCTCATACATCTAGGATTTACTCAACATCTTCATCACTCTCGCTCACCATGTACACATACACATGCTCTCTATTGAAAATATGTCTTCCTTCTTATACCAATAGCTTCTAAAGAGTTTACTATTGTTCAGTCGCTAAGTCTAAAGAGTTTAGCCGCTATCTATTTAATAAAGAAATCGTATCATTAGCAATATTAACAGGGAAAGGCTTTGGAGACAGTTATTCTGAGTTCAGTTGCTAGCTCTGAAACTGAATATGGCCTTGAGAAAGTAACTTAAGCACTCAGAATTTTTGTGTCTTTATCAATCAAACGTTAATCACTTTTAATACACTGGATAATGGTTAGGATTAAATGAAAGCCTAGTGTGAAGCAATGAGCACAGTGCCTGGCACATAGTAGGTACTGAATAATGTAGCTCATGATATTAGTCTATGAACACTCAATCTAAATATATTTATATTTATCATATATTATAAAATAATTTATCCAATTTTAAATACAAGTTCAAAATATATCATTCTGTCATCTAGACTGGAAGATGTGTGTGTTTCCCCATATGTTTTTCCTGCTTGTGTTTCCCCAATATATTAATTCTCTTTTTCTGTCTATGAAAGTTTGTCATGACATTACACCTTCTGGCACAAGGATGTATAGATTATAAAGAGAATTCCCTACCTGCATCTAGTAAACTTCTCTGAAGAGTCTGACATCTAATGTAGCTGAAGAAAATAAGAAAAGATACGAATCTAACAGTCTTCATTATTTCAGATAAACTTTATAGAAGGTGTTCTATCATTTGGGAGAATTGAATAATCCCTTTATATTCTTTCCAAGTAATTACTATTAATAATTAAACAACTTCTGGTGAATATTTTCCCCAGGCCACTATAATCCTGAAAAAATTAAAGAAATTCATGATAATGAAGAACTATTTCTGATAGCATTCATTAATGAATACTGGATTTTAAAATGAGTCATGTGAATCTACTTGTTTTTTCAAGGTTACATCACATGGGACTTGAAAGAAAGTAATCAATAGATGCTTTTGGTAAATACCTGATTTCCTAGAAATGCCTGTTGACATGTACAAAGTTCTAAAATGGCAGGAGATCAAGTAAACACATACAATGAATGACAGATTCAGATAAATGATGACGACCCTAGTTCCAGTGCTGGACACATTTTTAGGCCCCTAGTGAGAGTGGGGAGCACAGATTTGGGAAGCAAAGCCATGAGAATGCAACCTAATTTACTGAGTGTTTGCTGCAAGTCTAGCACTTTATATGACTGTATTTAGGTAGCAGTATTCTTATTTCTTGAATAATTAGTGAAGACCCAGGCTCATATAATTTGCTTATGGACTCACAGGTAGAAATTCAGGTCTTTCTGATGTCAGAGCTCACACCATCCAAGAGCTAGTAGTAAAAGTTGAGATACCAACATCTCTCAGCTGCTTTCTGCTTTGCCTATAATCCAGTTCTTTAGTCTAGGGTAGGACACTGGTGACTATGAATTAACTTAGAAGTTCAAGCTAAACTTAAAGCCCCAAAGTTTTGGAAATGGGAGACCTGGTTTCTACTTTAAAGTAGACTGGTTTCTACTTTAACCATTCCTGTCCTCAGTTTCCTCATTTATAAATGGAGGGTCTGGATAAGATAATCTTTAAGACTGGAAGCTCATTGCTTGATTTTGCTACCCACATAATCTCATTTCTGGTTTCCCAGGCAAAAAATAAATATCATAAGTGAAAGAGATACATTTGCCTGAAAAACAACAAATCTGTCATTACTTAGATTTGGGACACGTTAGCTTATGGTAAAGAATATGGATGACTTGTGTGGTATAAAACCACACAAGGGAAGACTGTTTTGCAAGGTTTCCATAGGCTTTCCAGGGTTCCCTAAACAGTCCTAATGCTCAGCATCTCTTTCTGTCTTGCATCCTTAGAGTGGCTCCCTTGAGACCATACTCTAAGCTTCCTGGGGCTACCAGAAACGGACCTGTTACTCTAGCGATGACAAATGCTTTGGATGACTGCTTTCAGACTGTCACCCTTTATATACATTACTCTTTCACTAGAATCATCCACAGCACCATGCCACAGGACAGCCACCATTAACTGATTGGAGCTGGCACTTTAAAAAAAACTCTTCTATGTGTGCTAAACTAGTTCCTCTTTTTAAATAAAAATTATTTTTGGACAAAATTAACTTCTCATGAGCATCCTTCTCTCACAGTAAGAGATTCTTTAAAACATAGAAGGAGTTAAATTTTTTATTAGTGACTGATAGTGGAATTTTAGATCAGAGGAAGGACAGGTTGTGGGGATTGTTTAAGCAAAGGCTAAGGAATGGGTTTTGTGATAGAATTCAAAAGATGACACAGATTTTGTTCTCTAAGAGAAGATTTCCACACTGATCTTTAAGATAAAAAAATGGAAGGTGTGCAAGTATAAGACACAATGGTGATTTTTAATAAGTATTTTTACCACAAGCCTAATTCTTGTCCAAGTCATAGAAATAGAGTTTGAAGGAACTTTAGAAAAACCAAGGCTGGATCCCTAGATCCTGCCAAAAACCTGGGTAGTGACTGCTCATGCATGTGCAGTCTTGGCACTCATTATAGCACCATGAGGCTGATGACATTTACAAACATCTCTAGTACTAGAAGTCTTCCTGCATTGACTGAGTCCAGCTATGTTCTTGTCATTGGCATGAGCTCTGTCTGAGCCATACAGAATCAGTATGACTTGCTTTTGTTCCAAATCCTCTCTTTCCAGGCAAAACAAGACTCTTGAAAAACCCAATTCTCTCCCTCCTTTCTTTCCATCACACTGGTTACCTGCCTTTTATCACTGTGTTCTTTGGCACATCAGTAGAGAGAGTTGTATGGCAGTTTCCCCTATGATTATAGAGTCTTGTGATGGCAGAGGTCCCTGGGTCTTTGGTTTCGTATCTGTGGCTCTTAGCACAGCACTGGACACATAGGAGAATCCACCATCAGGTGCAAAATTGAATTAGCAAACTGCACTGTTTCACTTCTGTTTGTTAAACTTATTATTCATTATTTCAGTAAAATTTTCTTCCCTGTCATCCTTGACAATAAACAAGAGTATTTGGAAAAATGATAGAAAAGAAATTACTGTCTGCTGGCCATTGTATTTGGATACTTCATATAGTAATTTATTACATCTTTTTAAAGCCTTTGTGATGGAGTGATTATTCTTCCACCCTACACCAAGAATTGGAGGTCTTAGATTGTAGGCAACTTGTGTCTAAGGCCATACAGCAAGTTAATAGTAGTAGGAATATAACTCCCTTCTAATCCCCTCCCACCTGCAATTTCAGCTTGGATGGAATGCCGTTGCCACAAGTTCCCACAGCAAGGCCCTTTTTCCATTCTGCACCAATGACATCATATGCGATTGCTCACTGTCTTCTCCCCTGCCCAGTAGACATAAGAATGATGCCTAATTGGCTTCTATTTGGTTACATTTGCATTATATTGAATTATATTGTACAATGTCTAACACACAGTAGGGTCTGATAATAAATATTTGTTGATCAAATGAATAAGAATCCCAAATACCGTGCTCTAAATGTTAAACCAAAAGAACTCAATATTTTCATGTATTATATCTTAGATGGTCATCATCTTTTATTTCAGACACTGAAATACTAAAAAGCCTTAAGAGTTTAGAGAATATCCAGGATCATCAAGCCATGGGCCCACAACCAACCTTCAGTTCCTGGCTTCCCAGTTCCTACCATTCGCTCTTTAGATGTCACAGTCAATCACTTACAGTTCCAAAATAACAGCAGTTTTGATGTGGAATGGAGGGAGAAAGGAACCACTGCAGCTGATGCCCTGGCCCTTTCCCCCCTCTCTGAATAACAGATTTTATAGGGCCCCCACGACACAGCCTTACTTAGGAGGTAATGTATACATTGGCTAAGAATATTGTTCTGGAATTAGAGGGTTCAAATTTAAGCTTTTGGTTCTACCAATTACTAATTATATGACATTGAACAAATTCATTTATTTCCCCAAGCCTCAGTTTCCCTGTCCGTAAAACAGGAATAAAAAATGTTTACTTCATAGAGTTGTTAGGATTAAATGAGATAATACATCAGAAGTACCCACACAATGTTTTTACAATGAAAACATTCAATCCCAGCTGGTATTAGTAGGAGGAGGAGAAGGTGGAGGCATGCTACCAGCCCACAACATCCCATTTTCTCCCCAGTATCAACAAGAACAGAATCTGTGCATATTCTGTCCACAGAAGTGCTATTTCAGAGTCCTGTCTCCCATAAAGTCATAGATTTATTCATTTTGCTGTACAGTAGAAATTAACACAACATTGTAAAGCATCTATGCTCCAATAAAAATTAATTTAAAAAGAAAAAAGTAAAAAATATTTTTATAAAAAAAAGTAAATTTAGCCAGTGAACCAATGATGCTGATGGAATGAAAGACTCGATTGTTTCATTTTGTTAACAAGTTGACACATGACATTAGTCTTTGAGAAATAACTTTATAACGTTGTTGTTTATTGCTTGCTGCAATAACATTAGCTCAGACAACAGGTACAGAAGAATCTGTTTACTGTGTTCTTTTCAGAAAATGAAATTCACCACAGGACAGCTAGGAAGTAGGTAAGTTGGTCTTCCTCTCTTTTCTGAGAAACCTGGAAAGAAAAAACAGTATCTTGTGCAGCAAGGGAATATGAAATGATAGAAAGCCATGTACATGGCTATATACACCATATACATGGGCTAGAAAGCCATAAAAAACTCTTAGTGGTAACTATGTTTTGCCTTTTGCCCTCTGGCCAGGTGGTGGGGAGGCAGGGGGCAGTGTCGACGTCTCTCTTTCCTGACATTGAACATTATGCTATATCTACTCAACCTTTTGTTCCTAAAGTCTGTGAATAAGTCTTTCAGAAACTGCAGGGGAAAAGGGATCCTTTATATACCTTTTTGAAATTACAAACATATCACTTTTCTTTTATGTAAATCCAGGAAGGCTCTTAGAACAAGTTGCTGAGGCCTGTCTGCCCATCCCAGCCCCCTCCTTCCCCTGTGAACTTTCGTATTAATAGCTTCTTTGCCTTTCTTTTCTGGTCCAGACATCTGAGCGCAGTAGCGGGAAGGCAGAAGAGTGGATGTCTTTATATTCAGAAAACTGCTGGGACAGTAAGACAGTGCTAGCACAAACACAGTAGTGCCATCCCAGCCGCTGAGAGTGACTGACTCCCAGAGACACATCACAGGACCAGTGCTGGGGTTTGTTAGTGCAAGGCCAGGGTGATAAACCAGAAATGTTAGTGCAAGGCCTAGGGGATGATCTAGAAATCGACAGTGAAGCATGAGAGGGGAAAAGCAAAAACGACCAAAGAAGTTACCAACACATTTAGCCTTTGATTGAGATAGAAGGCATTACCTTAGGTGGGTTTTACTTGATGTTTTTCAAGCAGCCTGACTTTTGGCTGCCAATTTTGGACTCTGAAAGAGAAAAAAATAGAAATAAAAACATATAGGAAATTTTTGAGAAAACTTCATACTGTTTTCCCACAGTGGCTGCACCAGTTTACATTCCCACCAACAGTGTACAAGGGTTTCCAAACACTAAAAATAGAACTGCCTTATGACCCAGAGATATATATCAAAAAAAGAAGGAAAAAACACTAATTTGAAAAGACACATGCAGCCCAGGGACTTCCCTGGTGGTCCAGTGACTAAAACTCTGCACTTCCAATTTAGGGGGCCTGGGTTCGATCCTTGGTCAGGGAAGTAGGTCCCACATGCCACAACTAAGACCCAGTGCAGCCAAATAAATAAATAAATAAAATTTTTAATGAAAAGATACATGTAGAGCAATGTTCATAGTAGAGTTATTTACAATTGTCAAAATATGGAAGAAACCTTAAATGTCCATCAAAAGATGAATGGATAAAGAGGATGTGGTATAATGCACAATGGAATATTACTCAGACATAAAAAGGAATGAAATTTTGCCATTTGCAACAATATGGATGGACTTGGAGAGAGATATCGCAAGGAGGAAGCAGGGTCCTGTGGGGAGTTCCATTTTCTTTGTTTGACCAGGAATACCAGTTGAATTCCAGAGAAAAGAGCTGGAAATACCTCCTCCTTGAAGCAGGCCTCAGGCTCCTGGGCTTTGCAGCACTTCTCCACCACATTCGTGAAATCCGCCAGCAATGACCACAGTTCCTCCCCTGCAAGTTCAGGCTTCAGTTTCACTAAGTTGACAAGAAACCTGTGACCCAATGATGTCAAAAAGAATCAATTAACACTTTCTTTCTGGAACCCCTCTTCTCCAAAAGCCTTGTTCCAGAATTGTATCTTTGAAATCTCCATTTAGGTGAATGTAAAAATTTTAAATATTCTACTTTTGAAAGGACATCCTGAAAACTTTCTGCTAAACACATGGGATGGAGTCCATGATAACAGTCTTTGGAAGTTTATGCAGTAATGGACAAAATTGTATAAAATGTGGGAACATATAGAAAGTCTTCACTGTGCACAATATTGTAGAATATGTGACTTTTGATGTTTCTAGAAAATTCATTTCAAAGTATTCTCTCTTCCTTAGTAACTGAATTCTGTTTCCACTTCACTTGATACAGACACTGCCAACATCCAAAAAAAAATCTGATTCTTTTGCATTTATAGCATTGCCTGAGAAAACAAAAGCAAAATTCCTACCCCCTTTGGGCCTCTCATATCTTCAAACATTAAGACAGATTCTTGGAGCAAGCATCTATGACATTCTCCCAAGAAAATCTGATTCATTATGAACCTACCATGAGCCTTTTTATGGCCACCCTCACTCACGTTTTCAAATCACAATCTGGACATTCCAAGTCTCTAGCAAAGGAAAAGACTACGTTTTATAACTGGATAGACTGGACAGTTTGACAGAAGGAACAGAATTATAACATCAAGATCACACATCCATTACAATAAACCTTCTCATTAAAACGTGATGTGTCTTCAGCCTGAAGAAAATGATGAACAGAAGAGAAGGCTTGTACCTGTCTTTTTTCCTCTGGAGTTCCTCGTTATGAGCCTGACACAAGCCTGCATGAAAGGTAGATAACTCTGGAGAGGTAGATGGAGGTACATATGTTTTATCAGCTTCCAAGCTCTCAAAGCAGGACCTTCTGAAGGCAAAGTTTGTTTTACAACAGTGGTCCACAGCAGGGTTAATATTTCGATTCTCATTTATTCCACATAACTCTCCAAGAACTAAATCCACCTGTACCAATGAAAGTTGCAATGGAGTTTTGAAATATGATAGATGAATTGTTAGCTTGTTCTAATATCACTGTCAACTTAGAAGAGCCTCTGCAATCATAACATGACACTATGTGCAACAAAAAAAAATAGAGACTGAAGTACTAAATGGCATTATAAGAAAAATTCAAACCATAGTAATTTAAATTCCTATAGATTAAGCTTAATATATATACAAATTTGTGACTTCGAGCTGAGAGCTGCAAACAGCTAACTGAAAGCATCAGCAGGACACATTGACCCTTAGATTTAGTCCCCTCCTGGAATGTCCCCCACATATGGGCCACCCCAGACCTAAAGAGACATGCCCAACCCAAACTGGACTGGAAGCAGCAATTCTCTTACTGACCTGGTGGGACAAGAAGGAGAATTCATAGTGTTACTTAAAATTATGAAGTTTTCTCTGTCATCCTGAAGCAATACTATGATTCCAAGTCATTTGCTCTAACAAATTACTTTTAGTATAAATAAGAAGAAATGAGACTTGGCTGTTGGTCCAGTGCTTAAGAGTCTGCTTGCCAATGCACAGGACACAGGTTTGATCCTTGGTCCAGGAACTAAGATCCCACATGCTGCAGGGCAACTAAGCCCGTGCACCCCCAAATGAAGCCCATGCTTTATAAACCCTGCTCTGCAACAACATAAGCCACCACAATGAGAAGCCCATTCACCACAATTGGAGAGTGGCCCCCACTTGCTGCAAGTAGAGAAAGCTCACATGCAGCGACTAAGCATCAGTGCAGTCACAAAAAAAAAAAGAAGTAAGAAAGATGATCTGGAGACCCCCAAGCAACTATTCAAGACATTCTCTTTAGTGCCTCAAGATTTTGACACAGAGAGCTAAAAATAAAACTTGACATTCCTTGCATAACAATGTGAAGAGAGGAAGATAGACAATCACTTATAAATCAATGAGTGCAGGTATCCTTTTTTATCTTTTTAGGAACAGTCACGTATGTGGGCCAGGCTTACCAAATTATCAACACAGGCAAACTCTTCGCTCAGGGTACAGCAGGTGGTCAAAGCTATCACCATTTCCTTGCCAAGAAAGGTCAGTTCTTCAGTGGAGAGCTGGGGGGCTAGCTTTGTGAGATTGATGAGGTAGCTGAAAGAGCATATGTCTGTTCTGAACAAAAGCAGAAGCCCATCTTCCCTTGCTTAGCCACCTGAAACCCCACCTCTGCAAGGCTAAGGACAACCAATGGAAGGGCAATGTGAACCTCAGCTCTCTCATAAAATGGTACAGATCAGTCTCTTCACCCCCCATTTTCCTGCATCCTGCCTCCTATAGATCTCTGTATATGGGCTTCCTTCTAGTTTCATGACAATTCAGAAACTATCAGATTTGCCTATCGTGTGTCATCTGTGATGATAAGAGCGCCTTGGCAGAAAGTATCTTGGCTAGCTAGTATGTAAAATCCTACTTGAAATCCCCTGCATTGTAAATAAACATTTCAAAGGGAAAATTTAATAAATACATGTTGGAAAAGGATAATCTGAGATGAAGGAAGCAAGAAACAAAGATCTTTCATGGGCTGAGTTCCCAGCTAACAACCCAACTGCAGAAATAGTGAAAACATATTTTTTAAATTATGTTTTGTTTTGAAGATGTTTGGTTTCAATGTACAATACATTAGAATGGTAATTAATTTTTAAAATTCCAAAAAAAACTTCATATTATTCATGAATGTTCATGAAATACTTAAAAAACAAATATTAAAGTGTTAAGCAAATCCAAAATTATTTCTTTAAACTCCATAAAATGGGCTTAAATCTTGGGAAGAGCGTCTTTTCCTTGGGAAAATATCACAACCTGAAGTTTGCTGCATTCCATTCCCCATGCCTGAAATGGGGCAAAATCCAGCAATTCTGGGTTGAGAGTAAAAAAGTTAAGTCTAAACAAAAACTAAAGCATTAGATAATCAATTTGTCCAAAATCCTGTATTTCTTCCATTTCTAACCTGATTTCTGATAAAGTTTTAAAATGACAGCTCGATGTGAATTCTTAACTCTAGTGATATTATCCTTTCCCAGAATTTATGAATTCATCACAAAAGGGCTGAGCTAAATTTCTGACACTTTGTGGTCATCTTTATTTTATCCTGGTCACAAGGGTTAACCTGCTTGTTCAAACAACTTACTGGTATTTCAAGTCATCCTTCCCCAAATTCTGAAAATGTTCACATTCTCGTTGTACTATCTTGAGGCTTTTCTCTGTTGTCTCATTGAATCTATTTTCCTGAAAATAAGAACAACCATGCTTTTGAAAATTTTATCTAATCATAAATTTAATCATAACATTCATGTTGACTTGTCTAATTTCTTTTATACTTACATAGGATTTTCAAACTATCATTATCATAAATTAGTCACTAAGTTGAGGGTAGTTTTCTATATATGTATGTTAATATTTGAATCTTTTTAATTATAGTTAGACATAGAGATATGGTGTTTGCCAAAATGCGGAAGTTTAAATTTTCATCATCACTACGTTGTATATTTTATAGAGCTTTAAAGTCTACAAAGTGGAATTCAAATCTGATGCTGACAATGATCATATAGATTATCCCTCTAAAGTGGCCAGAGAAGTGATCTGGTCCTGTGAAGTCAAGTGACTTGCCTAGAATTACCCAATAGGCAAGTATTGCTACAGAACACTTTTAATCACATATATCTTTTTTATACCATCTTTTTAATCATTTAGAATTGGAATTTAAAACCTCCAATAATTGTCTTCAAATATTTGACTAACTCTCACATGGCATAAAGTTGGACACCAACTAAGTGGCCACCAGGGAGAAAACAACACACCAGTGATGGAATGCTGTGGGATGAATTGTGTCTTCATATAATAAAAAGAATTTTCTAGCACTATCTAAGGATTAGGAACAGACCTCCTCATTAGGGACAGTGGCAAAGCTGGATGAAACAAGTCTTCTTACTTCTTGCTCAAATATGAATGGGTATAAACAGGCATTTTTGGCAAGTGGGGGTAATTTTTTAAGTAAAGCAAAGCAACACATATCAAATGAATGAGAAGCAAATCAAAAATGTCAAATAATTATTCTGTAATACACAAAAATACATATGAGCTGATATTAAAAACACACTAATTTCAACAGGAAAATCAGTAAAAGATGTGAACAAACTGTTCACAGGAAATTATAAATATAGTAGCTAAAATCATATAGGAAAAGCTTAGCTCCATTATAAAATATATTCTTAAATGTTTAATTGAATCACTTTGCTATGCACCTGGAACTATCACATTTTTAATCAACTATATTCCAATATAACAAAAATCAATTAAATTCTTAAAACACAGTCATTATTTAGCAAAGTTAATTTTCATGTGCAGTGTTGGTGAAGGTGGGGGTGAAACGAACATTTTCAACACTATATTGGACTATATGCTGGTAATAACTTTCTAGATAGCAAGTTAGTCATTTGTATCAATTATTGTTTTATTTTAGTCTATATACTTTGATGTAGTAATTTTCCTTCTGATAATCTCTCTTAAGAAAATAGTCATAACTATTAAAAGAGATGAATGAAATGAGATACTTAGGGTCACATAAAATTTTTAAAAAGCTAAATAAATGTCCAAAATGTCAAAGATACAGTAGGAGAGCATTTAGATATATTATGATGATAGAATACCATCATGTAAAATAAAGTGAATTTTTTTAAGTCTGTTTAATAATGTAAAACGTTTTTTATGACAATAAATAAAAATCCAAAAATTTCTTCAGAAAATATTATCCCAATCTTATTTTTAAACATACATATAAATAGATTCATATATGCATAGAATAGATGAAAAAAATGTTAATTAAAGCTATTTATTGAGGACAGAATCAGAAAGTTTTTACTTTTTCCTTTATAACTTTTAGTAATTTCTTAATCATCTTTAATAATCATTTATTATTTTTATAATCATAAAAAATCCAAGATGGCCCAAGAAAACACAAGAGCACATAAATAAAAATATAAATATTTAATCAGAAGAGTTTTTTGCCTCAACACACAGGATTCGTAGTTCTAGACATTATGTGTAACCCATGGCTGATTCATGTCAATGTGTGACAAAACCCACTTCAATGTTGCAAAGTAATCAGCCTCCAACTAATAAAAATAAATGAAAAAAATTAAAAGAATAAAGAAAAAAGTACAAATAAAAAGAGCTGCTGAAAAATAAATAAATATTATGTGTAACCCAAAGGGATGATGTTGGTCTTCCCAGGGATCAGCTTACACTGAATTTTAGATAGACTCAGATTGGTCAGTCACATTTTCTACCCTCTGAACCAGAATAAAACTTTGACAGTGTTTAAGTGTTTGTTGCTTGGTTTGTTTAATTCTCTGAGCCTGTAGAATGGACCTACCGCACGGCGGTAACACCCAGGAGGGTTTTCCATGTCACAACACTCTTTCAGAAGGTCCTCATACACTTTAGCAATTCTCAACAGCTCTGGCGTGGACAGTTCTGGATGCCTCCTTGAGTACTCATAAAGAAACCTGTAACGTGTAAAATATTTTGTACATTAGAACTTCAAGAAAGAGCAAAACCCCAAATCCTGCTATCTGGAGAGACCTTTGAATCCTGAGTCTGCCTTCAAATCCTGTTTCATCTTTCTCTGGTGAAGGAGTGACTTAAGAGGACATTTTGACAAAAGAGATCATGTTACAAAGATTTTCCTCCATATTATGTTTTAAAATAGCAATGTTTTTTACTTGGAGGGATAGAATGGTTAGAGGTGTTTATCATTCATTGTTAAAATAATTTTATCCATAAAGCATCAGAAATAGTAGATCATGCTACCAATACTTTAGGAAGTACATATCAAGTATAATTCTGTTGGAAAATGCATTCGACCTCCATCTTGAGATTTGGGGAATATGGCTTATCCTCACTCCTGGTGCACCTGGGGAGAGATTGTGGAGCAGACTTTGCCCATTACTCCATCCTGTCACTTGTCAGTTATGGGAGTAATCACCCCTGCAGGTCCAAATCATTGGCAGCCATTTCCATGGCCTCTGTGAGGTGTTAAAGGGTACAGGTGGGTGTGATTAGAGGAGAAAGTGGGAAAGAGAGAGGAAGAGGCTAACACTTATTAAGGGCTTAGTAGGTGCGAGGCACTGGATCAAGCTTTGGGCATAGGAGACAAGGATTGGCCTCCTAGCCTTCATAAAACACTGTCTCATTTAACTTCACTTAGCCCTCAAGATAAGTAGTAGCTCACAGCTGAGGAAACTGTCTCAGCCCAGTAAAGCACCTGGCTCTTGGCTTCCCTGGCGGCTCAGACAGTAGAGTCCGCCTGCAATGCAGGAGACCTGGGTTCAGTCCCTGGGTCAGGAAGGTCCCCTGGAGAAGGGAATGGCTACCCACTCCAGTATTCTTGCCTGGACCCATGGACAGAGAAGCCTGGCAGGCTACAGTCCATAGGTCAGGAAGAGCCAGACACAACTGAGCAACTAACACTGTCACTTTGTAAAATCTGAACTTCGGTCCCAGAGGACGCCTACTTCATTCTTTTTACTTTTTTATTTTTTACTTTTTTTTTTAACTTCATTCTTTTTAAACCAAGCCAACTCTTCTCTCAAGAGAGCTGTTTTCTTTAACTACCCTGTGCTATTTACAATTTTCTTCATAGAAATATCTTTATTCTTTCGAATTAAGTAAAAATGATCTGTGTTTTGTGAGAATCATACGTCACAAAAGTTTTTCAAGTCCAAGGGACTTTTGTCATCTCTTTTTGTCTTGTAGCCTTTTTCTCTTGATTAATCTTGGCTTTTCTGACATCTCTCCTCTTCACCATTTATCTTCTCAGTCCCAGTCGTGACATATAGTCTCATATTCTAAAGCAGTGGTGTCTAACTTCAGAGAATCAAGGGCTCCACTTAATATTTCATAAAAGCCATGAACTTTTGCTCAGAAATAAAATTGCACCTAAAATCTCACCACCAAAATCTTGTGAACAAAAACCCCTGGAAGAAAACCCCTAGCGTGGCAGATCCACTGAGGTCTTGCATCAAATATTGGCATCCAGTAAAACTGCACCTTAAACTGTTTCTGGTTCAGCATGTTCATTGCTGCTCTGTCATTTCTCCCCATGCTTCCCACCCTATCTTAGTTGTCATGGTGATGATGATGGAGATGATGAGAATGAGGATAAGGAAGAAAACTGCTTCCATTTAGCAAGTCTATGTCAGGTACAAGTGAAATGCACTGCAACATTGATTTAGTTTAATTTGACTGAGCATCCATGATTCATGAGAAGCAAGAGAGCTCAGTGGTTATAAGGACAGGAATCTGGAGCCACACTGGTTGAATTTGACCCCTCACTCCATCACATATTAGTTGTGTGACTTTGGAGCAAGTTACTTAACCTCTGTGCTGCAGTTTCCTTGCCTATAAAATGATGATTTAAAAAAGTATTCTAACCACAGAAGTTTGTTTTGAAAATTAAATTCATTGACAGATGAGAAGCACTGAAAATTTGCGTAAGTATTCAATAATCTGGTTCTTCAATCCAGACATCCTTCCAGAATTCCAGGTTCATATATAAAATCATCCTATGATATTTCCACTGCATTACTTCACAGGCACCTCAAAGTCAAGGTGTGTGTGCTAAGTTGCTTCAATCATGTTTGACTCTTTGCAACCCAATGGACTGTAGCCCGCCAGGCTCCTCTGTCTATGGGATTCTCCAAGCAAGAATACTGGAGTGGGTTGCCAAGCCCTCCTCCAGGGGATTTACCCGATCCAGGGATTGAACCCTCATCTCTTACACCTCCTGCATTGGCAGGCAAGTTCTTTACCACTAGCGCCACCTGGGAAATCAGTGTGGTCAGATACAAATAGTTTCTCTTTCCCACAAACCTTCCCCCATACTTCCCATCTCATTGAGTCTGAAAACTACTTACCAACCACCTAAGCCCCAAACTGGGATTCATTCCAGATGAAGTTTCTAAAAGACAAAAGTGATTTTGTCCTTCCTTATTCTTCAATGAAAACCCTTTGGTGGCATCTTGTTACTTAGCATATCTGGATGATCTGACCCCTTGTGCCTCTCCCTACCCTCTTCTCTCACTGCAGAAATCCTAGCACAATCACATACACGCCATGCAGTTTCACACTTCTATCAGTGTTCTACCCCTTCTATCCAGATTATCAGCATTTCTTCAAGTACCTCCTCCCCATCAAGACTTTTCAGAGTTCCCAAGGACTTCCTCTTCTATCCCCATATTGCCTATGGTCTAGTGCTTTCAGAAATTAAAGAGTGTTTCTTGCCCTCATATATTTATGAGGCTGTCTCTTTCCACATCACACTTCTGTTGATGAAAGCTTATTGGAGGCAAAAACCCTGTTTCACTTGGTAAAGCCCCTGGATTATATTGAGTTGGCCCAAAAGTTCATTTGAGTTTTTCTATAACATCTTAAAGAAAAAAATCCGAATGAACTTTTTGGTCAACCCAGAGTTATTACTGACAAACTTTGAATGACTAAATATTCTCATATGAATTTTACATACAATTCCTAAAAAACAGACAGGTTAACTTGTCCCGATGATTCTACCAGGATTCAAATCTAGTCCTTTTGCTTCCAAGTCAGCTAAACAGTGGTGGGAGTTGGGGGAGAAGGCAGGGGAGAGCCTTCTGCCACAGGGGAGTGGCAGATAAGCCTGCAAATTCTTAGGTTAGACCTCCTGGGTCATATCCTTAGTCTGCCATATTTTAACTGTGAACCTTAAACAAATTACTTAACTTCTCTCTACCTCACTTTGCTCATCTGAAAATTGGGAGAAATCATGCTTATTTTACATGACTGCTGTGAGAATTAAAATAGATAATCCGTACTTAGCCCACTGTCTGGCACATATCAAGTACTCAATAAATGTTAGCCATCACTGTCATAGCGCAGTTGCAATTTCTAAAATAATGTAAAAAGATTACAACCTAAAACCATGATTTTTAAAAATTATGTGATATACCCAATGATTTAAATGGTTCCTATGTCTTCCACCCAAGTTAGCCAAAATAGATCAAGTCATAAGTTTCTGTTTGCCTTATAAATGTCAATATAGAGGTATGTTACTCAGCCATGAAGTTCGCTTGGTCAGCATCTCGTTTCTCACACACATTGTCACTTTCAATAAATTTTGCTTCTCTTAAAGATAAGTCGTTTGGTCTATCATCTTTATTGGAGTAAATGATACACTCTCCACGTTCTGGTATTTTCTTTTCACAGCAGTCTTTGATTTTGCTGGAGATGGAATCTTGTTTTGAACAAATATGACTCATAACCTTGCTCTGTATCAAATAAGAATGAGAAATGACTTTATTTTCATAAGTTCTTCAGGGCTAGATTCTCCTTCGTAAATGGAATGCACTTATGTATAGCATCTAGAATTGTTTCATCAACTAATTTGATAGCTAATTAAATTTTGTATTGATTTAATACAGTGAACTTTCATTTTGATGCAAGCTTGATTTCTTAGGATTTTAGATGATATAATTACAAAAATTAGACTAATAAATTTATTACATATTAGCTGGAATTTTTTTAAAGGTAGACTAACCCCTGCTTCTTCCTCTAGACTCTTCAGAATGAGGCTGCACATTTCGACTACTCTCTGTTCCGCTTCACCTGAACTACACTGAGTTTCATCAAAGCGCTGGACTATTCTAGACACTCGGACTCTGCTCAAGCTGTTCCCCTACTCGGAATCTTCTTCTGGGGAACACTGAAGGTGAGGAATGAGATGAAGCTCCAGGTTGAGATGAAAAATGGAATGGAGATTTGTACCATGTTTCCATCAAACCACATAGAACCAGGGAGTCCATCTTTGCAGACAAATATACATCTCACCTAAGGCCATCATTATTCAGGACAACACATCTCTTACTGTCTAAAATTTCATTTCTATTTTGAATGAAGTATACCATTCAATTGCTCTTATTTCTACATAAAGCCATCCAAAAAAAGCATATTGAAAATATAATATGATCCCTTAGTCTCAGCTCCAAACTTCACAGAAAACTCTTCAATTATATCCCAATTCAGTACATTTTATTCAATATTATAAAATCAACATCCCTATAAATTACCAAATAATACACAAATAAACAATGAGTGAGATTGCTTTACATTGCAATAAAGTTAAGGACAAAATAATTCTTGGGTACATCTAATGTCCATTACTGGAAATAAAATGTATATATCTTCATACTCCAAAATTCAAGTTATCTAATGACCATGATGTTTTGATTTGAATTTAAAACAGTAAGACTAATTAAAAAATCACTTAAAAAAACTAATTTTAACTAAGAAATCAGGATTATTTTTAATGAAATTGTGAACAACTTCAACTAGGTCACTATTATATTTACCAGTATATGTCCTTAAAGAATCACTTTAAAGACTACAATAAGAGTTATTTTAAATGTACATATTCATTTATTTGAAAAGACTGTTCCTAAGTATCCTGAAGAAACTCAGAGAAAGCAACTCTTGAAAACATAAAGATCACCAGTCATTTTCTGAGTTTCACTGTTAATTTCTAATATCTCTAAAACAGTATTTGCAATATTAAAGAAAACTTTAGTCTGGTTGAATGAATGTTCACAAATTCTAAATTCCTGGGGATTATGTCATGGGCATTTAGTCACATAAAATAGAATCAACTAAGTAATCTAAAAGCAATCTCATTCTTTAAAAATTCCAACGCTTCATTTGGTCTCATTTGTTAGTATTTTATTTTTTATTTTATTTGGTTCATGTTATTATTTAACAATTGATTTTTACGGAAGTATAGGTGTTTTACAATGTGTGTTAGTTTCCATCATATATATATACACACACATATATATATAACTGAACATATATGTAAGGGACTATATTTTTTCATATTCTTTTCCATTTCCATTAGAAGCTATTACAAGATATTAAATGTAGCCCCCTGCACTAAACAGGAGGTCCTTGTTGTTTATCTGTTTTATACACAGTAGTGCTATCTGTTATTCCCAAACAATTTATTAACATTATGATTTTATTGTAGTGAGTAGCCACACATTAAGGCAACTTCAGAATAAAAAATAGCCACCCAGATCAGTATTTTTGCTTGGTTTTATAGGATATTTACCCTGCCACGGATGCACTGCACAACATCCCCTTCACAGCATCCATCATATTTGGAAGAAACATCTTCTAGAAGGGAGGTAAGTTGCTTAAATTCAATCTTGGGGAATTTTTGACTAAGTACAGCAATGTTTCTGGAAACAGAATTGATAAACCACTAAAACAACTTGAACAGCAAATAGACAAAATGAAGTTCTTTGCTAATACAGTATAAGTAGGTGCAGTAAGCATTGGTATCCTTGTTTTTTCACCAATGGCTTTACCAAATAACTGTTTAAACATTACTTGGCCCACATGATCATTTTGAAAATCCTAGGTTGATATTTTGAGTTCTATTTCAGGACCAGGGGGAGAAAGAAGGCCTGAAAGATATGCCCTCTTCCACAATTGTTATAGCAAAACACATTTTTTAAGGACAACCATTTCTTCTTGTGAGTCTATGGCAGGCATAGATAATTCATCACAGCAACCTTTTTCACTGATCTGTTTGAAATCTCAGAATTTCTCACAAAACGTTGCACTAGTACCATTGCTCTTTGTCTAGGTAAGATGTGAAATAAAATGTATCCCTAGAAGGTAGTTTCCTAGTTATTAAAGTCAAAGATGGATGGATAAGTCATGTCTAAAGCACTTGGAGGTTTTAAAACTCTGATTGGGAACTCCCAGACCCATTCAGATTCCCAACTAACCAAAAACTAACTCAGAAGTAACCCTCTCTCTCCCTGGGGTCTCTCCACCTTTCAGGGCTTCTCTCATCCTGATCTAACGTCCTGGTTCTGAGCAATCCAAGCAGATTAACCCCCACCTCAAAACCCCTAAGGATCTAAGAAGAGTATAAATGAAAAGTCATCAATGATTTAACAAAAATGGAACACAGACCAAAAAAAAAAAAACAAATAGAAACAAAAGATAGATTATAAAACTCACATAAATTGTAAGATTTGTGGTCCAAATTTCATAAGTGCCCCACAGGCATTTTTTTGATAAGAAGACAATGCTTTTAAATAGTATATGAAAGGTTCTGCCTGAAGGATAAAGAGAAAATGTTGTTGAAGCAAGTGGAAAATCCCACTATTCTCTTATTTCCTAACCACATGTCAACCAAACAATCCCAATGTTTCCTCAGAAATAGAAAATCTACGGGGTTTTTTATCTCAGGAAATGTGTATAGCAAAATAAATAGAAATGTGTGGCACATTATAAAGGTAGAGCCAGTCTTCCTGATGACCAAATTACAGTTGCTGGGAAGTGCAGTGTGCAGTAATCTTGTCCCTCTCTACCAGGATGATTCACTTATATGGTTAAGGACTTGTCCAAGATAGAAGAGAAAATGTCGTTTTTACCCTGGTTAGTTACTCACTAGTGTTTCCTTCCAATTTACAAGGAAAACAAAACCAGAAGAGAGACCCTAGAAATGGGCAGTTTTTCAAAGGTCTCAAGTAATGAGAAATTTAGATCAGTTAGCAGGTGGTGAATGGGTTGAAAAAACAGTGAAAGTGACAAGAGAACGACTGATAAGTGGTAAAAAACTATTTTGCTATAATTTAGGTAAAGATCTACAATTTCAGGTGACTCCCTTCCTTTTAATAAGCGTAATACCTACCTTTGCTAAATGGAATGAATGTATATAATAGTAAATGGAATAAATGGAATGCCCACCTTTGTTCGAAAGCAGTTAGCTTTTTCTTGTTCTTCACAGCATGTTTTAGTCATCTCCTCAAAACGAGCAGCAACAGTTAGAAGTGTAGGAGCAAAAACGAAGGGGTTCCTTCTGGAAACTTCATAGACATAACTTCAAAAGAAAAAAAAAGGAAGGAAGAAGGGAAGGGGGAGAAACAGGAAAGAAGTGAAGGAATCATAGACAAGGGAACGGAAAGAGAAGATTAAAAAAGACAAGTTCCAGTTGCGAAAGTGAAGGTGAGAGGAAGGATTTCCCATTACTGAGGCTTCAAAGGAAGGCAACATTACCGAGTTTCCAAAAATGTCACACCACTGAAGTTCCCAACTCCCAAAAAAGAATGATAATTGCAGTTCTCATCATGAATGCAAGGCCCTGGCTATTCTCTTTTCTTCCCCATAATGCCAGATGGTCCGCAGCTCTCCTTGTCATGAAAGAATAGCAACCTATACAGACTCCATCTGAGATCCAGAGATCGTAATCACTTAACATGTAAAAAGAAAACTTTGTGATTTAAGCTTTCCAGAAAAAGTCTCTGCTTCTGCAACTATTGCACTGCTAAACATCCATTGACTTAATGTTTATCTTTGGTAAAAGCTGCACCTTCCCTTTTGAAAGACCATATATTTCCTCCAGCAGTGCTTTCGTACCTTGCACACACTTGAGTTCTGAGGCTTATCCCATTAGAAAATACGCATCATTATTGAAAGGATCTTGAAAGCAGGTTTCATATCTTGTTCATCTTCTAAACAATGACCACAGAATCTGACACACAAATGCAGGTTGAATAACCTAATTGATCTGTAAACCCAGCTATGTTCCTTTGGAATAGATATTGAATTTAGCCTAAGAATTGAAGAATTATCTTCAATTAGATGCTTTTTCTACTAAAATTAAACTTACTTATTCAAAAAAGATTCCCTGTTATTTTTGTAAGTCTGGCATTTCTCTTCAGGATCCAGGGTAGGGAGAGGAGGCAAAAATTCTATATCAGCTTTCTTATTATGGAAGAAACAGAGTCTTCTTTCAAAGTCACCCTTACGGCAGCAGTGTGAAAAGTTATACTTTTGTGGCAGTCCCTCCATGGCACATATATTTTCCAGTAAAACCTCATTCTGGAGAACAGAAAAGGAAAAGACACATTTAATTCACTGCAACATTTCTCAGGCTTCTGAGATGACACAGTGGAGACAGTGAGAGGTGAGTGTCACTCTTTGAGAAAGAGATTCCAGGATGTTCCCAATATTACCAGCAAAGCATCTCTACCCACAGCCTTGACAACCATCCTACACTTTGGGAAACTCTCTCTATCCTATCCTGAGTCCCCTTGACCTCTTCCTATCTCTCTTCTGCCTACATCGCCCTTACATAGTGACTTTTTTTCTTCTTTCACAAGGTAACAGTGTCAGAGTGTAATGTGTTGGTAAAGTATTTAGTAGTAATGTTTAGTAATAGCTTTCTAGAGATGCAGATGGTTACTCTATTGGGAGGATGCCAAGAAAAGGGGCTGTGACAGAGAGTACATATTGAGAGGCAGGTAAAGAAAGTAACTTTACTTCCGTGCACTTTGCCAGGCTATTGGTTTAGAATTCCTGCCTGTATACTTATGGCATAGACTGCAAACTCATAGCCAAGTCCTCCTGGGCGTCAGTACACAGAATTGCATCTCTCCTAAGAAAGTGCCTTATCCTAAATACCGAAGTCAGGCAAAGTAACAACAAGAGCATAGAGCATCTCTCTCTATTTTCAGGCCAAAAATTCTCTCAGTGTTGACAAATAAGCTTGTTTGTTTAAGAAATGCAAACAATTTACTTACAGCTAATTTTGAACACTCTGGGAGTGTCCTGTCAGCCACGCATTTATCTCTGTATTCTGTCATGGCTTTTACCAACATTTCTACTTCTTCAAAGGATGCCTCCTGAATATATTGAGCAAATGCAATGATGGTGCTGCAACAGTCCACACAGAGTACATAATGATGACCTGCAGAATTTCCAGTTATGTCCAACCAAAATCTCACAGGAATACCCACTTGCTGACTAACCTTAGAAAATTATCAAAATGTGAAGTCTCTAAGTTTTATAACTTCTTGACAATTCAATTGCCTCATCTGAATTTTTCTTTAATACTGTATTCACTTTTTAATATGGTATTATTTAATCAATATATTAGCATTAATAATTCTGGAAGATGTCAGATAAACTTATAATAAACACCATCATCATCAAAACAAGTTTAGAGGAACTCACATATATCCAATGTTATCCTCTATAAATTTCTGGGTGATTCTGACATCATCTGAAAGCAAAAATATTTAGGTTATTATATATCCTGGTATTTTAATATTTTACCAATAAGTTACTATATGTAACACATTTTAAAAGTGTAAAATAAAAAATGATATAGAAAAAAATAGCATATTTAATATGAAGAAGAAACATCATGTGAGCCAAATATTACATCTTAATCACAGTTGATTATGTGCTTAAAAATATTCATTAAGTGAATTGGCTTTAATTAATTTAAGACTCACCAGACTTTAGATTTACTATTGATGGCTCCCCAGCCACAAATGTCAAACACAAGCACCATTTCCATGCTAGATGACAGGTATAACTAGGAAAGTAATATGAAGTTTCACTGTTAAGTGATATAATGCTACAGTTGTGCCCAGCAAGAGATGCCAGGCATGCTGATGGTAGTGTAAATTATGATGCTAGTCAGACACAGATATTTAGGTGATCTCTGAACTAGTCTAACACCACTGGTTCCTTTCCAATAAGCATATACTTATCAGAACACATTTATATCAGTTCATACAGGCTATTTTCATGGAGTCTTTTCTTTTTCAAAGTACTGCACTGGTTACTATGAGGCAACCAATGATAACTAAAACACCTCCCCTGGACCTTAGGTTCCTAAATACTCTCATAGTGCAGGTGACTCATGAACATGACTGTAATCCAATGTAGAATGTATATGATATTCTACATTAAAGTGGGTACTAGACAGCTTATTAAAAAGCATAGACGTTACTTTGCTGACAAAGGTCTGTATAGTCAAAGCTGTGGGTTTTCCAGTAGTCATGGATGGATGTGAGATTTGGACCATGAAGAAGGCTGAGCATCGAACAATTGATGCTTCTGAACTGTGGTATTGAAGAAGACTTTTGTGAGTCCCTTGGACTGCAAGGAGATTAAACTAGTCAATCCTGAAGGAAATCAATCCTGAATATTCATTGGAAGGACTGATGCTGAAGCTGAAGCTCCAAGACTTTGGCCACTTGATGAGAAGAGCCAACTCATTAGAAAAGTCCCTGATGCTGGGAAAGATTGAAGGCAGGAGGAGAAGGGGATGACAGAGAACCAGATGGTTGGGTGGCATCATTGACTCAATGGACATGAGTTTGAGCAAGCCCCAGCAGATGGTGAAGGACAGGAAAGCCTGGCGTGCTGCAGTCCATGGGGTCCCAAAGAGTCGGACACGACTGAGCGACTGAGCAGCAACCACATATAACAGGAATGCTTATGGTCTCTGGGTGAGGAACCAGAAAAGGATTATAGGAAGAGGGGTATGTAAGTTAGCCTAAAAAATGTCCAAGATTTCAGCTAACTGAGAAATAAGGAAGCTCATCTTTCTGTGTGGAGAGAATGTGAGTAAAAGCACAAAGGTAAGAAATCCTGGGATGTTTGGGGAACATCAATTAATCAATTAATCTCCCACTTTGATGAGAAAGTGAGTCATAAAGAAACTTAATGGAACCAGAGACAGGAAGAACCTGGATCCAGATTATGTATGCCTTTCATATAAAGCTGAGGAGTTTGGGCCTCAACTGGAAACCATGAAGAGCCACTAAAAATGTTTATATAGAATAGTAATATCATCATTTCTCTAAACTAAGAAATACCAGCCAGGTAATGGTATGTCTGATGTTCTGGGATCTCCCACAGTACCTAACAAATAGAAAGTAACAAGAACTATTTGTCCAATAGATGTAAGAATGAATGGATGGAGAGGAGGAAATCAAGAAGCTCATTAGGAGAGTTTTGCAACTGTCCTGTTGAGAAATCTGCTGGACTTTGGTAGCAGTAACAGAAGTGCAAAAGAAAACGTGGATGCAGAAAATATTGGAGTCAAAAATCAACAGAACTTTTTTTAAAACAAGTTTTTACAAGGGGCAAAGGAGAAGGAAAACTCAAAAATGACTATCCTTCTTTAAGCCCTGTGTCTGTGCTCACTAGCAGGCATTGTGGTGGTGGTGGTGGTTTAGTTGCTAAGTTGTGTCCAACTCTTGTGACACCATAGACCGTAGCCTGTCAGGCTCCACTGTCCATGGGGATTCTCCAGGCAAGCATACTGGAGTGGATTGCCATTTCCTTCTCTAGGGGATCTTCCCGACCCAAGAATCAAACCCAGGTCTCCTGCATTGCAGGCAAATTCTTTACCAACTGAGCTACAAGGGAAGCCCCAGCAGGCACTGGAGCGGGTACCAAATTAAGACATCATCCACAACTTCAGGGCGTGGAAACACTTATAGCACCTTGGTGAACTGCAAAAAGATGGTCTTTCAGGCCAGAGGGATTACAAAAAAAACACCTCCAAACAGATGAAGTTCAAAATGTTCCCTCTTTGAGTAGAAGAAATATAAAAGTCACACTTTCCTCCAGGCTAACACTGCTCCAGCAAGGCTTGAGGAAATGTACAGGCTTGCAGGGATTTAAAAATTAATTCCCCAAGTGTGTACAGTTGGAAGAAGCAGGGTCTGCATACTCTTAAGGTGTTTACCATATTATTAGGAAATACAACGAACGACCAAAGTTCCAATAGAATCTCAACTCATGTCTAATGTTCCACTGTTTCCATACACTACACATATTTGCAAGAAACATTAATATTTTCAAATCCAAATTATATCTCCCAGCAACACTTCTTATATTACCATTATGCTGGTGACCGATTGCTGGGTGTGATAATTGTCTCTGTCAGTAGATAAGGTAATATGATCCAAAATACAATATCTGGCAAGGTTAGATCAGGGTATCTGATCAGTATATGTAAACTAGGGAGAGGGAGAAAAAAAGCAAGTGAAAATTTAAACTGAAAGAGACCAAGTTAAAAAATAGAAATTAGCCCAACTTAGTCATTCCTTAGGGGATAGACAAGTAAATTTCTTACCTACGTCTTGAGGCTGTGTGGGCAAGGTTAGGGATTCAGTCAAAAAGAAAAAGAAAATAACAAAACCTGTAAGTTTTAACTGTTTCATTTTTTAAGAAATCACATTCACAAAAGAAAAGTAACATGAATGAGGAAAATCAAGTTTTTATATTATTCTTTGACACTATTAGTAAAAAAGTAACTTGCTTAACCTATTTCTCATATACCTCATATTTGATTTTTATTTGATCACTCTGCAGAATTTTTTGCTAATTATTAACCAGGAAAAAAATTCTCTCAGTGTTTTACTGGAAAAATCTATTGAGTTAGAAAAAGAAGTCCACAGGTTAAGTATGCACAATACCTAGTCAAACAGACAACCAAAAATAATCCTGAACTATTGCAAATGCTAAAAGAGAAAGGACAAGAATAAATAATTCACCAAAGAGGAAGCATAACTAAAAAGATGCTAAACTTCTCTGATAATCAAAAGGAGTTGAATTTACAATAAATAATTTTATATACTTGATAAAATTAGGGGAAAAATAAGATGTTATTCTAGTAAACATATAGCAAAGCAAGTACCCACAAAATCAAAGTTTCTGAACAAGTTTATTATAAGAATTAATAGCCTTAAAGATGTGTGTGTTTTTCATGTTGACGTCTGACAGAAAACCAACAAAATTCTGTAAAGCAATTATCCTTCCATTTAAAAATACATAAATTTTAAATTTTATAAAGATGATGTTTGTGTTATTTCAACCAGTCACTCAAATTCTGGGAACCTATACTAAGATCATGATCCTAAATAAGGAAATATTTTTAGTATGTGATATAAAAGAAGAAATCTATTTCTTAGTTATGGTCACTAAAAAGACACAAAAACAATAGCTACCAGGAAGCTCTTTGGGGCCCTTGGAGCCCATTTTGTGCCTCTATCAGATTTTAAACACTCTTCTCCCCTGTAAGAATCCTGGACTTCTAAAACAATTTTCAAAAACGATTGGGGACATGTCTAAAGAAGATAGAAATCAGTGGGACAATTTGAAAATAAAGTAAATAATGAAAGGAATGCATTATAACACATTAATTTTTTTTTAATTCCATGAATCTATACGAATACAAAATTAAAATAAAAGGAGAGGGAGCAAAAGCTCTTCTCTTTTTAAGAAGATCAACTAATAAATGTAAATAATCATTTGTAACTCTCACAGTAGCAACTGATCTAAATCGGTTTCATGAATGGGTGCTAAAGTTACTGGTGAGAAACTATCAGACAAAGGCACATTTACAGTTTTAAACTATAACTCCATAGATTACTTATTAATTACCAAGGAAAAAGACATCTTTACAGATGGATAAGCAAACAGTGGTATAGAGAAAGAGAAGTGGGGAGAGAAAGAGACAGAGGTAGATAAAGTAAAAGGGAGAGGGAGAGAGAGAGAGAGAGACTGAGGTTTCTGCAACTGGCTTGGTCAGCATCTTTGACTGCAACCAGTAAATGTCACTAATCATGCTGACCTCTAAACAGCCTTTTGTCATTTCAACTATTCAACTATTACATCAACTTGCTTATCATTTTCTTCTCAGCTATGTTACTTATGACTTCTGATTACTGGTTCATGCCTGGCACTTATGTGAAGACGGACCCAGTTCATCTAGTTCACAAGTTTAACCCCCCTATCACTGATAGGAATGTGATTTTGTTAGTGACTGTATGAAATAAAAGAGCAGTCTGTGCTGAGTTAAAACCTTAATGTATTTAAGCCAAGTTTCTTCCTGGTCATTTTGAATGTGCCTGGAATTATCTAACTGCTAACTCCCTTCTTAACGATAAATAAACTTTAAAAACTTACTCAGATAAACATGCCTAAGAAGTCTGGCTTTAGCTATATAGACACATACCTATACATAAGGATACTGGGGAAAAAAGAGGGAGGTAGCCAGCAGAATAGTCAAAATCTTGAGAAAATCTCAGAAACTAGCACAGATGGGATCTAGTTGATAGAGAAAATAAATAAGAAGGAAGCTGATCTCCAAATATGGAAGATAAGAGCAACCTTCCCTCAAAGCTCTGAGTCTAAAGAGCGATATAGGCTATAGGGCGATAATCAGGAGAACAAGCTAGAAAGCTACATTCGGAACAGTTCAATCAGAAGGCACCACTTCCTTCTCTCTTTACCACCACACACATGTAGAGAGCAAACTCAGGTCTCAGTGGTTACCTCTAAGTCAAAATCTAAAAATGACTTTTTCTTAGTTTAGGTTTTCCAAAAGCAGACCTCCAAAGACCTGTAATTTATTTTGAAGATGATTGAAGGAGGCACAGATGAGGACGTGAAACCAAGAAGTGAAAAAAACTAATAAAGGAGATGTTAATGAGAAGAGTAACCATGTAGGCAACTGAGTGTAACCCTGTCTGAGGAGTGGAAGATGATTTCCTAAAATTGTCTCGGCCAGAGACTGGGAAGCTGGAGCATTTACCCGCTGACTGAGGGATGACCAAGTAGTATAATTATAAAAACCCTAAGGAGAAAAAATACTGAGCTATTTTTTTCACAATTTTAAAATTCATGTTTTTATTGAAGTATAATTGACATATAACATTGTATCAGTTTCAGGTATACAACACAATTCATTATTTGTCTACATTACAAAATGCTGACCACAATAAGTCAAGTTAACACTCATAAGCATATATAGTTACAATTTTTTCTTTTTTATATTGAGGACTTGTAAGACCTACTCTTAGAAACTTTCAAATATGCAATAAAATATTATTAACTGTAGTCACTATGCTTTTGACCCTCCTGTTCATTTGGTTTGTGCATCTCTGCTTGCCACCCAGCAATCACCAATCCGTTATCTGTGTCTATGAGCTTAAGCTGTGTAGTTGGTTGGTTGGTTTTGTTTTTAGATTCCATATATACGTGAGATCATATGGTAGTTGTCTTTCTCTTTCTGACTTACTTCACTTGGTATGATAATCTTTAGTTGCATCCATGTTAGTGCAAATGGCATTATTTCATTCTTTCTAATGACTGAGCAAAGCAGCACTAATAGATAATAAAACATTTTAAACTAGCATAATAATTAAAACAGTGTATTATTGGCAATCAAGAGAAAGATACATACAATTAAAATTTTTAAATTAGTTTCAAATGCCTATCCATGCACTAGGAAAATTCCAAATAGATCACAGATTTAAACGTTAAAAGGGAGTGGGGAGAGTAAATGTACTAGAAGAAAGACAAGTACAATGGAGACAATTGTCCTATGATACAAAATTCAGAGGCAGTAATAAATTCAACTACCCCCAAAAAGTTTTTAAGACTGTATATGGAAAAATATTATACAGAAAGTCACAAATGCAGAGGAAAAACTGAGAAAAGATAGCTGCAATCTATCAATATACAAGAGACCCTGAAATAGGAAAGGAAAAAATACCAACAATCTGATAGAAAAATAGCAAGATGATATAAGCAGATGGTATGCAAAAAGAAAAAACATTTAAAAGGATCTGTAATATAAAAAAGATGCTCATAATAGGAAAAATGAATGTCTAGCAACACCATACCACCATTCCTCACCTATCTGACTGGCAAAAATCTAAAAGTTTGACAACATACTTTGAGGATAAAACAGGTGGAGAAATAGGTCATCTTATCCAGAGCTTCTGCGAATGCACAATGGTGGTGCAATACCTGTAGAGAATTTGGCAATATCTAAAAAAATATGTACTTCCCATGTGGCTGAGTGGTAAAGAATCCGCTTGCTAATACAGGACACACAGGTTCAATCCCCAGGTTGAGAAGATCCCCTGGGGGAGAAAATGGCAACCCATTCCAGTATTCTTGCCTGGGAAATCCCACGGACAGAGGAGCATGGCAGGCTACAGTTCTTGGTGTCACAAAAGACCCAGACACGACTTAGTGACTAAACAACAACAAAAATATATGTATTTATCCTTTGAAATTTAGAAATTTGTTAGAAACAAATTTTTAACAGGTACAGAAATAAAAATAAAATGGGCTTCCTGGTGGCTCAGACAGTAAAGAATTCACCTGCAAAGCGGGAGACCTGGATTTGATCCCTGGGTTGGGAAGATCCCCTAGAGGAGTACATGGCAACCCACTCCCGGATTCTTGCCTGGAGAATCCTCAGGGACAGAGGAACCTGGTGGGTCCCAGTCCATGGGGTTGCAAAGTTGAACAGAACTGAGCTACTAAGTATACACATGCTAAAAAGATGCTACCAATATGATTAAACAACTAAAGCATTAGGTTCTTCTCTGTGGCATTATTTGCATTAGCAAAGGATTAGAAATTATCCAAGTGTCAATACAAGGTCAATTAAAAAACCATAGCCCTAATCACACAAAGAAATTTTGTGCAGCTGTTAAAAAATTGAAAAAAAAGTATGCATAATATGAAGTGGTCACCAAGATTATATTTTTAAGTGTAAAAAGGTGCAGAACAATATATTCAAGTATGTAACCCCTTATGTAATATAGGTAGAATGGTGTAATAGGAAAATTATTTATATACATATTTGCTTAACTGTTAAAAATAAAGAAGAGAATGGATAACCAAGCCCTGAGAAAAGCTGTTATCTATAGGAGGAAGGGAGAACAGGGCAGAAGGAATATAGTGTCTAAGTTACTTCAAGCTGCTACAACAAAACACCATAAAGTGGGGGGCTTATCAACAACAGAAGTTCATTCCTCTCAGCTCTGGAGGCTGGGGATCTGAGATCAGGATACCAGCCTGATCAGGCTCTGGTGAAAGGTCTCCTCAGGGTTGCAGGCTGCCAAAATCTGGTGCTGGCTTCACATGGCAGGAAAAGGGTATCAGGGTAACACTGGCCTCACAGAATCAAGGTCCCTTCTCTTCAGTTTTTTGGAAGAGTTTGCATAGAATTAGTATACTTTCTTCCTTCAGTGCTTAGTAGAATTCACCAGTTTTCTGGAGTTTTATGGGAATGATCTTAACTAAATTTTGCATTTCTTTAATGGATATAGAAATAATCAGATTATCTTTTTTTTAAGGGATCTTTGGTAGTTTGTATCTTTCAAGGCATTTGTTCATTTCATCTAAGTTGTCGAATTTA